TATTTTTAAATTGTACCCTGTACATTATTTGTATAAAGTCACTTTATTAAAGTGTCCCAAAAGTTTGTTAATTTTTTTTTGGATAACTTTAACATAATTTTTTGTACTTATTTTAAGAAAGGAAAATATTTTACCGAAAGTTTTGTAAAGATTATATGCAATTTTGAAAGCATTTTGTTAATTTTAAGGCTACAGATTATTTTGATAATTTTTTACAAATTATTTCGTTGAAATAGTACACGTGTTTCAGGCAGTCAATCAAAACATTTTCCACTGACAATACGCATCAACAAGTTCAACTACTTCAGCGTCGGCAACTTATGTTTCTGCTTACTTTATTCTAATTCGTAACAACTGTTCAGAGTTTTATAATATATTACCAGAAATCTGTTATTATTGTTTTCTGGATTCCTTATACACATTTAAAGATAACAATTACTGGTATTCAAAATGAAATTATGGGATACAGTGAAGTGGGTTAAAGTTACGAAACACATCAGTAAGTGTTGTAGTAGTACTGATAATTATAGTGTACCAAATTTCTTTATAAGTATAAGATTTCAGAATGGTGTGTTATTTAATTTAACACACAGTATGTTGTTTTTGTGTTTATTTAATTAATAAAGCTACATTTCTTATCAAAATTCTTTCCATTTAAATTCCCAATTTTCTACAAATACTTTTATTACTGGGTTTTCAAAAAGGTTTGTAGAAATAAGGTCAAATTACAAGAATTTTGGTTGAATTATTGACATAGGATTTTGTTATTAAATCTAGTTAATATTTGGTTAAAATTAAAAAATATGTTTTTCTACTCCCACCTTTAAAACGCCCTTTATCGTACATGTTTCCATGACACTTAGTGACCTTTTAAATACACATTGACAAGTTGTGGCTTTACGGCGCTTTAGTCACGGGCTGAGGTTAGCAACAGGTTTTTAGGCACGGGCTTTAAGTTAGTTGACAGTTGTCAAATGTCATACAATCGTTAAAATAAAGTGCCTTTCTTGTAAAATAATACTAAATGTGAAAATTATTTTATTATCTCAATACAAAAATATTAAATAGTTTATCAACGCCAATATTTGAAAAGTTTATATGAACATTGTACTGACCTTTTAATTTCGCCGGCAGTAAACTATAACTTAAATTCGGGCACGGACTCTGTAAAGTCCTCATAAAACATTTCCTTTACTTTCACTGTGAAAAACTGTCAATTTTCAATATACATTTCGATTTATAACCTTTATAATTGTGTTTATAAAATGTGAAAATGTGACATTTGACAGTTTCCCCTGTTGTTTCATAGATGGCGCTCTATACAAATTTTTTATTTAAATCATTTTAAGATAATACCTAATAAGTATTTGTCGTAGAAAAAGTATTAATTTAAATTAAACTCGTGTATAAAATAGCGTTTATCAAACTTGATACATAATATACTATTTTACTATGTAGGTATGTATAAAAAATAACAAAAATGTTATCGAAAAAGTCAAATTTTATTTCTCAGAAATAAGCAATTTTGGGAGATATTATGTTAGGTTCGTAGAAAACATTAAAACCTCTATATATATATATTAACTAAAGATAGAATTTATATATGATATGATGATATGATATATACAGGGTGAGCCAAAAATCGCTTATTTTTAATAAAGCAAAAGCGTAAATTCATGATTTTGGCATAACACGCAAAAAAGATTTATCCCCATTTTTTTTTTTAGATATTTCCACGTTTATCAGGTTACAAAATGGCATTTTTATGAACCTTTTATAAAAAATAGATTTTTAATAAAATTAAATAAAATAAAGTTTAGAGAATATTTAAAATGTTGCTTAATTTAGGCTCTTTAGTAGTTTTCAATTTTGAACGAAGAACTGGTTAAAGTTTTTTGATCGGCACTCTTTGGAGATTTAAACACGATATTTACCAAAATTCTAACTGCTTTTTTTAAATTTGTTAAAAAATAATTTTGTTTTAATTATTTGTTTATCGCAAAGTCTACCTTTGTCCACATTTGTACACCGATTTTTATTGATTGCAGTTTTTTGTTCGGGACCCTTTGGTTACTTTAAAATGATATTTACCAAAATCCTAGCTGCTCCTCTTTTCTAAATTTTTTGAAAAATCTTAATTTTTTTTTTAATCTTTGTTTATCTTACCTTTGAAAGAGTACACATTTGTACACCGATTTTTATAATATTGGAGTATATTGTTAATGAGAATACTGTTTTTATACTAAGCACATCATTAGATTTATACAGGGTTAGCCAAAAATCACTTTTTTATATAGAAAAGCATAATGCACAAAAAAGATTTATCTCCAAAAATTTTTATTTTATTTAATTTTATTTAAAATCAATTTTTCTTATAAAGTCTTAATAAGTATCCCATTTTATAGCATGATGAACATAAAAATATCTAAGAAAACATGGGTGGGTATAATATATTTTTTGCGTGTTATGCCAAAATCATGAAGTTACGCTTTTGCTTTATTAAAAGAAGCGATTTTTGGCTAACCCTGTATATATTAAATGATGTGCACAGTATAAAAAAGTATTCTCCAAATCTCATTAACAATATACACCAATATTATAAAAATCGGTGTACAAATGTGTACTCTGTCAACGGTAGACTTTAAGATAAACAAAAATTTAAAAAAAAATCATGAACTTTCAAAAATTTTCTAAAATAGGAGCAGCTAGGATTTTGGTAAATATCATTTTTAAGTCACCAAAGGGTCCCGAACAAGAAACTGCAATCAGTTTTTGGCGGCATTTTTATGTGACTTAACCTTAGTTCAGGCACACCGTGTCTGCACAGTTTACCTTTAGCGTAAAAATACGGTTTAAATAAATATTTTAGTAGGTTTTAAATGGTGTTTTAATGGTTATTATATGATTTAACAATTTTTTTTAAGTCTGGGGGCCATTATATGATAGGGGCCCCCGGGCACCTCACCGAACTGCCCGGTCATATGTCCGCCCCTGTAAGTTAGTCTAATTTCTTAGGTATTATTGCAATTTATTTGTTAAGATTTTTTATTGTTATTGTTAGAAAGCTCAGTGATGTATTTAGGTTGTAAGGACCGGGCCTAGGGCGGCAAAATTTTAGGGGGTTCAAACCACCATGGTGCATTTCTAACTTCCTCATTATTTAAGCTACAAAGTCAGTTAAATTAGCAAGTTGGTGGCATTTTTTCTTTTGATTACAAAAAATAATTTAACCTCGTGTTTCAAAAATATTTACAAAATATTTGTTATTTTTAAATTGTACCCTGTACATTATTTGTATAAAGTCACTTTATTAAAGTGTCCCAAAAGTTTTTTAATTTTTTTTTGGATAACTTTAACATAATTTTTTGTACTTATTTTAAGAAAGGAAAATATTTTACTGAAAGTTTTGTAAAGATTATATGCAATTTTGAAAGCATTTTGTTAATTTTAAGGCTACAGATTATTTTGATAATTTTTTACAAATTATTTCGTTGAAATAGTACACGTGTTTCAGGCAGTCAATCAAAACATTTTCCACTGACAATACGCATCAACAAGTTCAACTACTTCAGCGTCGGCAACTTATGTTTCTGCTTACTTTATTCTAATTCGTAACAACTGTTCAGAGTGTTTATAATATATTACCAGAAATCTGTTATTATTGTTTTCTGGATTCCTTATACACATTTAAAGATAACAATTACTGGTATTCAAAATGAAATTATGGGATACAGTGAAGTGGGTTAAAGTTACGAAACACATCAGTAAGTGTTGTAGTAGTACTGATAATTATAGTGTACCAAATTTCTTTATAAGTATAAGATTTTAGAATGGTGTGTTATTTAATTTAACACACAATATGTTGTTTTTGTGTTTATTTAATTAATAAAGCTACATTTCTTTTCAAAATTCTTTCCATTTAAATTCCCAATTTTCTACAAATACTTTTATTACTGGGTTTTCAAAAAGGTTTGTAGAAATAAGGTCAAATTACAAGAATTATGGTTGAATTATTGACATAGGATTTTGTTATTAAATCTAGTTAATATTTGGTTAAAATTAAAAAATATGTTTTTCTACTCCCACCTTTAAAACGCCCTTTATCGTACATGTTTCCATGACACTTAGTGACCTTTTAAATACACATTGACAAGTTGTGGCTTTACGGCGCTTTAGTCACGGGCTGAGGTTAGCAACAGGTTTTTAGGCACGGGCTTTAAGTTAGTTGACAGTTGTCAAATGTCATACAATCGTTAAAATAAAGTGCCTTTCTTGTAAAATAATACTAAATGTGAAAATTATTTTATTATCTCAATACAAAAATACAAAAATATTAAATAGTTTATCAACGCCAATATTTGAAAAGTTTATATGAACATTGTACTGACCTTTTAATTTCGCCGGCAGTAAACTATAACTTAAATTCGGGCACGGACTCTGTAAAGTCCTCATAAAACATTTCCTTTACTTTCACTGTGAAAAACTGTCAATTTTCAATATACATTTCGATTTATAACCTTTATAATTGTGTTTATAAAATGTGAAAATGTGACATTTGACAGTTTCCCCTGTTGTTTCATAGATGGCGCTCTATACAAATTTTTGATTTAAATCATTTTAAGATAATAATAAGTATTTGTCGTAGAAAAAGTATTAATTTAAATTAAACTCGTGTATAAAATAGCGTTTATCAAACTTGATACATAATATACTATTTTACTATGTAGGTATGTATAAAAAATAACAAAAATGTTATCGAAAAAGTCAAATTTTATTTCTCAGAAATAAGCAATTTTGGGAGATATTATGTTAGGTTCGTAGAAAACATTAAAACCTCTATATATATATTAACTAAAGATAGAATTTATATATGTTTTTATCACTACCAATTATTAATCAAATTTTTAAATGAAGATTGCGGTGCTTTTATTTGTTTTTTTAATTAAATTTAAATAATATTGATATAAATCATCTAATAAACTCTTTTAAAATTGTTTCAGAGACTTGAAAATGGAGAACGTGATTCTAAACTCGATCCAGACGCAAATCAAGATCGTCGACTTCGGTCTGAGCAACATCTGGACGCAGGAGACCATGCTTCGGACTCACTGCGGCTCCCCGGAGTACGCAGCTCCGGAACTCTTTGTTACCGGCAAGAAGTACGGACCGGAGGTGGATCTCTGGAGTCTGTCAGTATATCAATCAAATACAATAAAACTTTAGTAATAGTTGTTCAGGATAGTTTATGATGAATCGTGTTTAGGGTTGGGAAAATTTCACTTTTAGCTTGTACTTGAAATTTCACTTGAAATTTTTATGACATTTATGAAATTTATTAAAATTTCCTAAATTTCTGAATTTCATGAAATTTATGAAAATTATTGAAACTTTCAATAAATTTCAATCACTTTAAGTGTAATATATTAATATTGAAATAAGCCCACTCGGGGACCATGGCAAATTGCCTCTCTTACCTCCTACCCCTCTGTGGGCCCCTGTACCAATAATATAAATAGTAAATACCTATGTTTACCACAAATTTCTTGAGATTTCCTTTTAAAATATTTTTAAAATTACTAAAACTAAAAGAGATATAGCACTTTTTGGTAAGCTAATGAGATTGTGCAACTTTCATTGTTTTATATTTATATATATTTAATATTTTTAAATCTTTTACTGAAATTTTACGAAAATTGAAGAAACCTCATCAAAATTTTATGAGCCAAAGGCATTTTTTAACCGTTTTCCGATGCAATTATAGCAAAAGTAAAAGTTTAAATTAATCATGACTTTGAAAAAAATTTTAAAGTCTGATTTAATTTACAAATTAAATTGGTAACTGAATTAAATTATTTAAATTAATTTATGCATATAAGTAACAATAATTACTTATAGTGTATTCAAATCCAAGCCGAACTAAACAAAAACGTCCAGACGCTTGATAACTCGTTCTTATTGGTCGATTCGGAATCTGTTGTAAATTATTATTAAAGGTCCCAGGGGAGGCCGCATCTGAAATTTATGCGAAATTTTCAGTAACTTTCAATAAAATTTCTGAAACTTTCACAGGCAATGTTGAAATTTTCGGATTGAAAATTTCATTCGAAATTTTTAAAAATTTCACTTTTTCAACTAAATGAAATATTTCAAGTTTGAAACTTTCAAAAAAAAAATTAGCAGCCAATTCTTATATAAAATTGTTCCCTGAATCCGAAAATACCGTCAAAAATTATTAGTGGAGCAGTTTTTGAGATAAAGTCAATTCCATTTTAAATGCAAAATTGACTATATAAAACTGTTCTACTTTTTTTAACTCATTTTTGACCAATTCATTTTTAGAGAGTAGATTTACCTACCATACCCTAAAGAAGCATCGCTAGTAGCACCCCCACGTTTTGTATCAAAACTACATTTTTTAATAATCAGCTGTCAAACGAGTGTTTTTAAGAATAAACCCGCAAAATGTTAAAAATATCGTGGAACGATTTGTTGTGGTGATAGGTGTTTTTCGAGAGTAAATCCTGGGTTAAGTTTATACCGGTTTCCAAATAAATAATGTAAATCCGAATAAAGAAATATGCATACAGTTCCTGTAAAAATAAATTGTATCTTTTAGTTACAATTTAGTAATAATTTACGTAAAAATTGTAAACATTTCAACTCAGTAAAAATCATAAAAAATAAGTCGTCTAAATTCAAACAGCATTATGCATTATTAAAAGCTTTGATTGAAAGTCTCCACTCAACGGAACAAAACAAAAAACGGGTGTTACATTATGTAAAAATGTTTGATTTTAAGTTTATGTTTGTAGAACTATTATTTTTTTGTAAGACTTCTTAAATCCAAATCCAAACTTATATATAAACATTAAAATTAAATTAGGTAAAGTTATTATTAGTTAATTCTGCACAAACAAATATACGTACCAAATTGGATCCTTTGGCAAAACATGAAAATGCAACGATTAAGTTTCTGAATTACATTTAGAAAATAAAACCACAATAGTTGACCATGATCACTTAGATAAAATACACACGTAACTATACAGGGTGAGTCATTAAACTTGAAACTTTGAAATATCTCAGTTAGTATGCATTTTACGGAAAAAATGTTTAAGAAAAAAATTAAATGATTCGAGGGGGGAAATCAATCAGTACTAAAATTGGTCCTCATACTCTCCTCCTTATAGGGGGAAAAGGTATCTTTAAAATTTCCAATGGAACACCCTATTTTTATTGCGGATTATTCGACTAAAAATAGGTAAATTTGGTTTAAAACATTTTTTCATATTCTTAATAAATGGCGCTGTAATAAAAAAAAAATCAATTTTTTAAATTTGCTATTTTAGACATTTATCTTCTCTCCTTTCTGTCCATGGAGTCTACACAAGGAGACGGACTTAATGGGGGCAATTGACTAAACCTACTAAATCGCACAAATTAAGTCTTTTTCACCGCTGATTCGATGCGTACTGACGTCTGCTGTTTAGGTACAAATCAAACACATGATTATTAATAAACGGAACACCAGCGCCCTCTTATCTTGGGAAGATTTTTGTATACTTCATGAAGTTCAGACTCCTTGTGTAGGCTCCATGTTTCTTTCATTGGTCACATTTGACACCTGTCATCTGTAATTTAAAGCTTAATTTTCATGTATCCGTTTGTCCGTTATCCGTTTGTCTGTTTTTCAATAAAATCGTCCGACAAGAAATTTTCTGATTTTCATGCATCTGTTTTTTAATGACGTTTAACGGATTGATTTGGCGACAAATAGAAATTAAGGATCAGTATATTCACTTTACTAAATTTACCTAATGCTTAATTGCCATAGTTAAAATTATGTCAACAATTGTAACTTTAACGTAACTGTTAGCTGTCTAATAAATTTAAAGGTAGGTAAATATACCATGTAAAAAGAATATACTAGCCTTAATATACATTAAAACGTATAGTTTTAAGAAAGCAGGTCCTTTTAGTTCTGGTTTTAATATTTTTTGTTTGTCTTTTCTTTTTTCCGTTATTCTTATTTACATAACAGTAGAACACGTCAAAAACAGATGTGTAGTGACGGATGAGTTAAAATTATTTTAACTTTCTCCGTCAGACGTACGAAGTTGAAACTTGACGGACCGAAAAATGTCATAATTTTTGAATTATAATTGGACCAATAAGAGCGCTCCTGGATGATCGGACTAACAGACAAACGGATACATGAAAATTAAGCTTTAAGCTTAATTTTCATGTATCCTATCATTTTTGACATTTTAGACGTTTGTCTCCTGTAATTTTTAATATACGTTATCTGTGATTTTTTACGCCTGTTCTTATTGACACCTTACATCTTACATCTTTCATTTTCAAATTATTTGAATATTTAATTGCTTTTTGGATTTTTTTCGATAAATATTATATAACCTTTTATTATTATTTTATATTTTATTGGTTTTTAACATTTTAATCCATTTCTAAAATTTTAAGATTTTGGTCATTGATTATCTTTTTTAATTTACCAATTTTAATATTTTCTTTATAACTGTTTGGGTTTTATTTAATTTAACTTTTCTCTTTTCAATTTTTCTATGGTTTATATTAAATTCATAAAAAAATTGTCCAGATGGTATTTCTTCTTTAAATTTGCGACTTTACTTTCTATAGAAAATACTCTTTACAGAAAACAACAAAACCACCTAGTGTACTGTGGAGATAATTTTCTTTAAAGAGTAAAGTAAAAATTTTAAGAAACACTCCTCTGATTTAAATTGTTTTATTACTTTCCCATGTTGCTAATAAAGTTCATAATAAAGAAAAATGTAATAATTGCCCTGAACATGTACACAAAAAAGGAATTTAAATAAACTTTGTGTATTGTGAAGACGAGAATTTTTGCAAACGAATAAAATTTAAATCTCCAAGCGGGCTTTTAAGCGACACGTCAAACTTTTATATTTTCTGTTGCGAGAGAAAAGCTGAAAACTCCACTCGGCGAGCGGCAGGGTTTTTTATCAGCCTACGGTGTTTTTAAAGTTTAAAATAAGACGATGTATAAAAATCATCAAACAAATTCCCTTTGCCGTTTACCCGGAAAAACCAATAAATTAAATGCGCGGCTCTTTCCCTGCAAACGTCACTTTAAATAAACAATTTTTCCTACCTGTAGGAGTTGGAGTTGAAGGGTACTTTTAAAGTTATTTATTTACTTTACTTTCCTTTACTTAAATAAAAGTCGAGTTGCCTGTTTGTTTTAAACTTTTAAAATCCAGTACCTATTAGCTTTTTATTTGGTAATGCAATACAAATAATTTTCAATGCCGGGGAATAGTGCTGCAAAGTTTTAAAAAGCATGAAACTTTTTAAAATAATTAACAAAATATTTATGTTTTAACAAAAACCGTTGCCTTCAGGCATTTCCCTTTTGTTTTGTATTTTCGTATTGTGGTACATTTTTTAGAATACATTAACAAATATTTCTTGTTTTAAAATAATGTAATACCTGAACATGAAAATTTCTTTTTATGTATTTTTTTATAATTGTTTGTATAACATATTATATAATACAAGCTTCTATGTAAAATATCTTTTGTACGCAAATTAATTATAAATTTTTTATACATTTAATTAAAAAAAGGGAAAATAATAAATTTATCGTCGGAATTTTTCCGACGGTTATGAAAAATGTATTTTTTTCTCCTTTAATATTAGCTTGCGGGTTAACAGTTAGTATATTATTTAAAATAATAATATTTTTAAAATTTTTAGTATTTTTTTTTATTTTTAAAACTAATATGCAGAGTGGTTTATTGGAGGTTTATAGAGAACTAAACTTAATCTGAAATTTTGGTTGCAGCTAAAGCGCAATACAACCTATTTCTCTAAAATATTTTCAATAGACAGGGTGTTTGGTATTTCAGTTTACTTTTTTCCATCTTTAAATACCCATAACTTTCTTATTTCAAATAAGCAATATAGTATATTATGTATCAAGTTTAATAAAAGCCATTTTAGTTAAAAATTTAATTTAGGCACGAGCGGGCTTGCGAGCAAGTGCTTAAATGCCTATAAAAGATTATGAACGAATTGCATACTATAATTTTTCTACTACAAATATTTATTAATATCTAAAAAATGATTTAAATTAAATATTTGTATAAAGGGACTTCTTTACTAAAATAAAGTAACTATCACAATA